CCCCCCGGTGGGAAAGTGTTAGCCGACAAACGGAAGGTCCGCGCGTAAGCTCAAAAGCGGAGAGAGATCTACACAGCTTCAAAGAAAAGCCTGCAATGGGCCATTCCGGCCAGACAGTGGCAGTGGTGCGCTGCGACCGAGAAAATACTGACGACATCAAGTGACGCCGACTAAAACAGAAAGCTGCCGGGACATGTCTGATGCTTACAGCTGACCAAACTCTCTGTCAACTGTGAAGTGTGTGTGATTAAAAATGATATATGTTGTCCTCCGTTACCCCCATCATTGTTAGACCCGTGTCTACACATGGGTAACTGTAAATCGCTCAGAGCCAGCAGCTCTGCAAGGATTGAGCGATCAATAAATTGAAAGATTATTATTATTATTACAGGAACAAAATGGGGGGGGGGCCCGACCACGGAGGCAGTGTCTCATCAACCAGCCACATGACCACCTTTCTCTTCCAAGCAGGGAAGACAAAAAACAAAATAAAAACACTCAGAGCTTTCTCTCCCCTGCTCCTCAGAATCAGATGTTCTCTTAGAATATTCTAACATTCTTCCTTCTTTTATGCACCTCAGATTTTATGCACTCCTTCTGAATGGCAGACTCTGGTCTCCTGACTCCATAAAATGTGCAGAGATGTGCGTCTGGATTTATATATTTTTGACATATGCACATGTTGTGGTTGACCTTGAAGCCCTGTGACCGCTGGACTTCAATCTGAGGAAGGGAAAGCGACGTATGTTTCTCTGCCCTGATACCCAGGATTCACATAAGGGGTGTTTCTGAGGGAATAAGCCTTAACTGAAATCTTGTTGGCTGGGAACAGAGGGAGGACCTTTTTTGCCATCCCGAAGGAGTTAAGAGTGACCACTGCCTTGGGAGCATTCTGACCTAGCTTAAAGATCTGGCTGCTACGGTAGGGTTCCCAAATCTTACCTGGCTGCCGGGGGGGGGGGGGGCCTGGTCCTCTTCCTGGAGTTCTTTGGCGCATGCGCCATGATGACATCACCAGGAAGTGACATCATCTTGCAGGGCACATTGCAGGGGACGCTCTATCATTTAAGGAAAAACTCGATGGCTTTTCCTTAAATGATCGAGTGTCCCCCCTGCAACGTGCCCGGCGCAATGATGTCACCTTCGGGTGAGGTCAATGCGCTAGGGTGCATTGCCGCAAACAGAGCACTTTGGGGGCGGGGTTCTCCCCGCCGGCTGGATTGAGGCCGGTGGATCTTGGGGGCCTGAAAGTGGGCAGACCCCCGCCCCCGTCAGGGGGATGGCAGCCCTATGCTACGGATGGGTGTCAATTTAGAAGACTGAGATGCTGTTAGGGTGGTATATACTGCGGAGGGTGGGGTGGAGAACAGTTCCATTGTTTGAATGATTACTGATCTTCTATCATTTGTTCTTAAGGTATATTGCGAACTGCCATAGTATGGAGCCTAGATACTATTTACAGTCTGCTTTCTCACTGAGAAATGTACTAAAAGGTAGAAAGGCAGGATAACGTTGTAATGGATAGCCAAAAGAAGTGATAGTACGGCTTACAATAGCACGTTTCAGCATTTCATTTGGACACCCTTTTTTTGTAGCAGGAATAAACACAGACGGAAGTGCCAAAATTACTCTGAGCATATAGCTAGATGTTAAGACGAGACAAGGAAGTTGTGTGTGCTCTGCTTCTATACTGCAGCCAATCTAATTTCACAAAGGATTACTGAAGACAATGCAGGGCCAAAGGCCAGGACAGGAGAATGCACTTTCCAGGGCTGATATACCTCAAGCAAGCACCATACATCATTTATTGAAAGCGGTTTTATGCCACCTTTCCAGCCGATCAGGGTCCTCACAGGGACAAGCATGAGAACATTAAAACATCTGAACAATTCGAAACAACATCATCCAATAAACACACAAACGTATAGTGCCAGAACCAGGGAGGAGGCTGATAACACACACACACACACACACACACACAAATAGCTTTCACACACTAGTGGAATACAAAGAGAAAAATGAATTCCCTGGTGAAAGAGTTCCAACGTTTTGGTGCCCCTACTAAGTCAGCCCTGTCTCAGACCAACACCCACCTAGTCCTGGATGCCGGGGGAACTGAAGATGACCGGAGAGAACAGATAGGTTCATATGGGAGAAGGCGGTCCTTAATGTATGTTGGTCCCAAGTCCATGCGGGGCTTTAAAGATCAATACCAGCACCTTGCAGTGAACTGGTGGAAGTCACTTCAACACTTGGATTTAGAGACTGTTGAAGTACTGATTTCGCTTTTAACAGCAGTAGCTTTTTTTGCTGGTGTAGAAAGAATATTCTCTTCCTTTGGACTCAATTCATTCTAAATTGAGACATCGTTTGGGACCCGATAAAGCAGGAAAGCTTGTTTTTCTTTTCCAGATTATGAACAAACAAGAAGATGAAGATGAGTGAGCTACAGACGACAGTAGTTTAAGATTTTCATGCATGGACTGGGCTGATGGTCTAAGTTTTTTAAAATATATGTATTTTGTTTAGCCACATAAATTAACGAGCACGGATGTTTAAACAAATACAAGAATACATATGCTATAATGTTATTGCTTTAGTTAAATAAAACTATTTAAATTGTTATTACTAAGGTAATGATTATTTTCCCCCTTCCAATAAAGTACAGCAGAAAAGTTGTCCAAATATGAATGACTAACTTATTAAACTGGAGATGGTTTGCCTCGAACTTATCTAGCCATGATGTGTTTCTAATAGCATAACCAAATCGGTAATTTTCTGATACAACTGTAAAACTAATCTGAACATCTGTTATTCTAAAAATGAAACCTTCATCTGGTTGTAAATATTAAGATTTTACCAACAAGAATGAGTTGTTATGCAGAAAACCATGGTTTAAGTCTAGTCTTACTTACTAGTGATTCAAATTGTGATTTATATTGATTTAATTCAAATTCACCCTGTTTACGACTGGCACGAGCCACCCACCATCCCACTAAACAGTGTTGTTTTAATGTCCCAAGAATGCTTTTTTAATGGACTGAGAGAACTACATGTTTTGCTCTGGAACCACTGACCAGGGCTTTTTTTTTGTAGAAAAAGCCCAGCAGGAACTCATTAGCATAATAGGACACACCCCTGACAGCACAGCTCATTAGCCTATTAGAAGAAGAAGAGATTGGATTTATACCCACCTTTTTATATTAGGCCACACCCCCATGTTACCAGAAGTGTGGTCATCCAGCCACACCCACCTTTTGCTTCTTATTCTGTTTATTTTGTTGTCAAACCCCTTGGCTTTTTTTGTAGCAGGAACTTCTTTGGATGTTAGGCCACACACCCCTAATGTAGCCAATCCTAATGAGTTTCTGCTGTTAGGTGTGGCCTATTATGATAATGAGTTCCGTGCTGGGCGTGGCCAACTCAGGAGCCAGCCGGAACTCCGTTCCTGTGCGTTCCTGCCCCAAAATAGTCCTGCCACTGACCCTTCTCTACACACTTGGGGGAAGAAAGATCTAACTGCCGCCATTGACTAATAGATGCCTACAAATGAACGCAAGTACTTCCCAAAAGGCTCTCCGCTTTCATGACACACAGAGAATCCTCCTTGACAAAGTTTCCCTCCACTTATCTAGGCTACCTGGATTCTGCGTTACCTTTAACGAGCTCTGGCTTGTACGTTTTGCAGAGCTGTTCCAGGAAGCTATTGTAAAAGGTTTCGGCTTGGTCTGTGGGCATTGCCATGTGATAATCGGGCTTGTTGCCTTTCAGAACACACTGCAGAGTGAACTGGCTGACACAGAGCACTTCGTACTGCTTGTCCATGACACTTTTAGACCAGTGCTTCCCGCTTTCATCTTCAAACACGCGGAGGTTTAATATCTTTCGAACCCTAAGCATAGAGCAAACAAGCATGGAAATAAAATCACATGGTTTGACATTAAAAAATGGGATAGAACACAACCAGAAAATAGCATTGTTCCTTAAGAATTCACATTTTTGGTGACTGATTTATTTATAGTCTGCCTTTCGGACAGGAACATAAGAACATAAGAGATGCCAATGTTGGATCAGGCCAAAGGCCCATCCAGTCCAACACTCTGTATCAAACAGTGGCCAAAATACCAGTGCCATCAGGAGGTCCACCAGTGGAGCCAGGACATTAGAAGCCCTCCCACTGTTGACCCCCCCCAAGCACCAGGATGACAGAGCATCCCTTGCCCCAGAGTCCCTATCTATACCTTGTGGCTAATAGCCACTGATGGACCTCTGCTCCATATGCTTATCTAATTCCCTTTTGAAGCCGTCCGTGCTTGTAGCCGCCACTACTTCTTGTGGCAGTGAATTCCAAGTGTTAATCACTCTTTGGGTGAAGAACACAGGGACTCAAGGAAGATTATACACAGTGAGCCGCTACAATCATAGAAATGGGATATTCAATAACCAGTACATTAGTATTTCAGAAGTCTGGAATGACCAGAAAGAAGCAGACCCATAGCATAAGAATTCACATGACACATTAAGAAATACAGAAATTACATAAACAGGATCCTACTTACAATAAGCTGTATGCAGCAGTATAGACCACAGTCCCTAATTATTTATCAAGGCAAGTTTGTAAAACCATTTTGTGCAGTGCAACCGTATTACATGAGCAGAATTCAGCCGCCACAATCGAAACGTTAACACTGGCAGAAGAAACTGCACAAATATGCAACACGAGTTAAATTGCGTTGTCCTGACTTACATGTGTTCAAGTTCCTTCTGCGTGTCTTCCACAGACAGACCCAGGAGTACACAAATGCCTCGTCCAATGGAGCTTATTTGTTCCCCACCAACTGTAGAAGGAAGGGTTTAAAATTAAAAAAAAAAATGTTAAAACTTGCAGGGTCTCTCTCATGCCACAAGAAAAATCCTAGTAACCCGCAATCATAATGACTGTGAGGCTTTAAAGCAGAGGAGTCGAACTCATTTGTCATGAGGACTGGATCTGACATAAATGTCACTTTGCCGGCCAGGCCATGTGTGCCATAACATGTAATGCCAGGTACTGGAGACATAAACTGTATAAAGGACAGCAGCTGGTAAGCTCCAAGTTCTTGTATCCTCACTGCAAAGTCTCATGGGCTGGGAGGGGGGGTGCAAAGGAAAACCATATGGGCAGACCGAGTTAAGTTGGTGGAAACTGTTCTTAAGGAAAGAATTAGTAGGCACAATGATGAACAAAAATCTACTGAGGAAGACTCAGCATGGGTTCTGTAAGGGAAAGATCTTGTCTCACTAACCTGTTAAGTGTTCTTTGAGGGAGTGAACAAACATGTGGACAAGGGGGACCCAAGAGATGTTGTTTACCTTGACTTCCAGAAAGCTTTTGATAAAGTTCCTCATCAAAGGCTCCTAAGTAAGCTCAATAGTCACGGGATAAAAGGACAAATCCTTTTGTGGATCAAAACTGGGTAATTAATAAGAAACAGAGTTTTTCTCAGTGGAGGGTGGTAAGCAGTGGGGTACCACAGGGATCAGTACTGGGTCCGATGCTTTTTAACCTATTTATTAATGATTTGGAGTTGGGAGTAAGCAGTGAGGTGACTAAATTTGCAAATAACATGAAGTTGTTCAGGGTGGTGAGACCAGGGAGGATTGTGAGGCACTCCAAAGGCATCTGTCGAGGATGGGCGAGTGGGTGTCAGCATGGCAAACGGGGTTCAGTGTGGCCAAGTGCAAAGTGATGCACATTGGAGACAAAAATCCGAACTATAAATACACGTTGATGGGGTCCGAACTGGCAGAGACTGACCAAGAGAGAGATCTTGGCAGTCATAGTAGATCACTCACTGACAATGTCGAGACAGTGTGCAACTGCAATAAAAAAGGCCAATGCTATGCTGGGGCTTATTAGGAAGGGAATTGAAAACAAATCAGCCAGTATCATAATGCCCCTGTATAAATCAATGGTGCAACCTCATTTGGAGTACTGTGTAGAGTTCTGGTCACCACACCTCAAAAAGGATATCATAGCATTGGAAAAAGTGCAGAAAAGGGCATTAGAAACTAGAATGATAAAAGAGTTGGAACATTTTCCCTATGAAGAAAGGTTAAAACACTTGGGGCTCTTTAGCTTGGCGAAACGACGGCTGAGGGGTGACATGATCGAGGTTCATAAGATTATGCATGCTATAGAGCAGGTAGAGAAAGAGGTACTTTTCTCCCTTTCTCACAATACAAGAACTCGTGGGCACTCAATGAAATTACCGAGCACTCAGGTTAGAACGGATAAAAGGACATAATTCTTCACCCAAAGAGTGATTAACACATGAAATTCACTGCCACAGGAGGAGGTGGCGGCTACAAGCATGGACGGCTTCAAGAGGGAATTAGATAAGCATATGGAGCAGAGGTCCATCGATGGCTATGAGCCACAAGGTATAGATGGGAACTCTTGGTCTGGGGCAAGGGATGCTCTGTATTCTTGGTGCTTGGGGGGGGGGCATCAACAGTGGGAGGGCTTCTAATGTCCTGGCCCCACTGGTGGACCTTCTGATGGCACCTGGTATTTTTGGCCACTATGTGACAGAGTGTTGGACTGGATCGGCCATTGGCCTGATCCAGCATTGGCTTCTCTTATGTTCTTATGACCAGAGAGCCAGCGGTGCAGAACTGGGTGGATCCTCCCACACTGCCTGACTGCTGCAGACGAGGTTGTTCCACCATGCGGAAGCCACAATCAGAGTGGCTCTGCCCACTCCCCCTCGAGCAGTCTCCTGTCCCCTCCCTTGCACTAGTTGCTTGTGGGCTGCATAACAGCCCTGAGCGAGCCAGTTCTGGCCCCCGGACCTTATGTTTGAAATCCCTGCTTTAAAGGTTCTTCTTTGAATTTATACGCATACCCAGGGCTCTTTTTGTAGAAAAAGCCCAGCAGGAACTCATTAGCATAATAGGCCACACCCAACAGCAGGAACTCATTAGCCTATTAGGCCACACCCCTGACAGCACAGCTCATTAGCTTATTAGGCCGCACCCCCATGTTACCAGAAGTGTGGTCATCCAGCCACACCCACCTTTTGCTTCTTATTCTGTTTACCTTGTTTGTTGTCAAAACCCAGGGCCTTTTTTTGTAGCAGGGACTCCTTTGCATGTTAGGCCACACACCCCTAATGTAGCCAATCCTAATGAGTTCCTACTGTTGGGTGTGGCCTATTAGGCTAATGAGTTCCTGCTGGGCGTGGCCAACCCGGGAGCCAGCCGGAACTCCGTTCCTGTGCGTTCCTGCCCAAAAATAGCCCTGCTCGTACCCAGTTTTCCTCGGAATGTTATGCAAAGAGCCATTCTCTTCACATATAAGCCAAAAGAACGAGGACACCGCTGCTCTCTGAAATGACTTTCTGCTCTGATCGAAGGTTAGTCTGGAGCAGACCCTCTGAATGTCATGTGCAGCCAAATACATTAAAGCACTCCTGTACTCCTACACTTAACAGCTGGACGGGAGAAAGACAGTCTGCGGGCAATGGTTCTCCCACAATGTTGTGCTGCACCTGACAACATTATTTTGCTACACTGTCTACTTAATAAACAGGAGCCTGTACCCTCGCTGAATTGATCTGGCAGTATGAGTGGATGTATCTACCCTTTCTCTTAAGCAGCTTACTAACACAGGGTGACTTTGAAATATTACGTAACAGATTTTAACCCGTATGAATCAGCTTGGCCACTGAGCATCAATTTGATTTTGATCAAAAGATGCCAAACTGTTTACAAATCACCCCACATTAAAAAAAAAACCTAATAAATATGTCTGACTTTTACACAATATGCCAAAGAACTAGCCATTCTGAAACAGATTTCATTCATTTCCACAGCGGGATAGAAAGGCGAAATTGAAAATCGGCCAGTATTTACACCTAAGCATCACAGACATCAACCCATAGACATCCGTTAATGGGGGAAGCAAAATCAAGGCTCTTTCTTACTTTGGTGTGTGTGTGTGTGTATTTTTTTGTATTTTTCATGTATGTGTGTAAGTATATGTGCACCTGGAAGTCATGGTGACCTCTGGAGACTGATCCCTACTGGGGCCTGGAGGATTTTCAGAGAGGTGGCTGAATAAAGCCTGCCCCCGCCTCCCGACTGCTGGTATTCCAAGGAGGTCTCCCATCCAAGTACTTGCCAGAGTCGACCCTGCTTAGCTTCTGAGATCTGACTTGCCTGGGCTATCAGGTCAGGGCATGGCTCTCTATTACTTTTGTAGGGCAAGCCTGCACTTTGCTGGTGGCATACCACTTCCAGACAAAGTAATGCACTTCATGACTATGGACACAGATTATGCAGCAGAAAAACTAACCGCTTCTGAGCTGCCTTGGAACCATCGCTAAGACAGTGTCATCCTCCAATGAACCAAAAATGAGGCCGCTAGGTGTCTGCCACCATTTGCTCAGTTATAGATTAGTGAGCAAAACACTGGCAAAAAGGCAGGGCATATTACCTGAAAAAGTGGACATGGCATGGGATTTTGCACTCAGACCTCACTACCCACCACAAAACACAAATCACTGCATACGCTGTGTGGCCAGGCAAAGGATCCATGGGAAGACAAGTTGGGTTTTGTTTGTTTTGTTTTAGTTTTTAAAGCTGGTATTATATAATTCACTCCTTCCTGGAAATGTAAAATATCTGGAAATTTTGAAGCCCTAAGGGGGGAGCTGTGGTAGTTCAGGAGTTTGAGACCTGCGTGTGCCGCATGACGGAGTGAGCTGCTGTCTCTAGTTCCAGCTCCTGCCAACCTAGCAGTTCGAAAGCAAGAAATTGCAAGTAGATAAATAGGTACCACTTCAGTGGGAAGGTAACAGCATTCCGTGCGCCTTGGTGTTTAGTCATGCCGGCGACATGACCACGGAAACGTCTTTGGACAGCGCTGGCTCTTCAGTTCTGTAACGGAGATGAGCACCGCAACCCTAGTCGGATTCGACTGGCTTTCGAGAAAGGGAACCTTTACCTTTACCTAAGGGGGGGAAAACCCCAAACGTCCCACCCTCCGGAAAAAACAGAAATTGGGAGCGGGGGATATACACTTTCCTATCAAACATATTTTGCTGCCTTAATGATACAAAATGCATAATGTATAACTTATCATACAAAACTGTACTAATTGGCAGTTTTATGGAATTTGAAAGTATAAATGCCTTTGTTTTCTACATTCTAAACTGCAGGACTTGAAGAGCCAGCTGCAAACTGCTGCACCCTGTGCTCCTTTAGCTGATGTGCTTTAATTTTTGCCATCTGAGAGACCGGGTGTGTGTGTGTGAAATTCTACAACAAATTTCTGCAGTAAAGAAGTGTGTTATTCTCTAATGGTCACAGCTGGTAGGATTACCAACATCAAGTTCAACTTCCTAACATATAAAACAATGAATTCTGTAACCAAATGCATTACCGCCTACCAACTGCTGCCCAAATTACTTACATTTAAACAAAACATGGCCTCGAAAATATATATGTTCAAAAATATACTACAGCAATTAACATTACCTAATGCTGTAGATTCTTGTCATGTAAAATTTTTATGCTATACATTTTGAGTAAAACTCTTGTCTTAAAAAGCATTTCACTCTTTCCATAATATTTTTCAGCGCTCCTCAAAATTTCTCAGCTCTTCCGGAACAATCACAACTTTTACAGCTGCAAAGGGAGAAAGCAAATTTGGTCCTATGGTTTCAAGGGGTCCCAGAATTAAAAGGCGAGAATCTAAAGCAACTCCTGAGTGAAGCATTAGCCCCAGTTACAGATCTGAAAACGGAGTATCTTGCAAGCGAAATGGATGTGGTCTACAGGTCCTATTCCGTGTACATCAAGAAGAATAATCTGCCTGGGGAAATAGTGGTCAGATTCTCAAAGTGGCATGTGAGGGATTCCACCCTGAAAGCAACTACAGGAACACCCTTGAAAATCGGGGACAATACCATCAGGATTCTAAAAGACATCCCATTTAAAATAAGGCAAAAGAGAAAGAAATATAAAGACTTAATCCTTTTTCTACAAACAAACAGCATTATCTACAGATGGTTAATTCCAGAAGGCGTCATTTTCAAGCTACATGATGAAAAAGAAAATATTGACTCTGTCTCCAAAGCACGTGAGTTCCTGAGAGTGCAGCTGGGAGAGACAGCCGAGGTTGAGAAGGAAGAAGATGACAACAAATCCAGTGGCGAACTGGACTCGGTGTCTTCTGACGAGGACTCTCTTTCCAATAAGGGGGCGGCTGCCCCCAAACGTACATATAAATTGAGGATTAGAAAAGATAAGACAAAATGAAGGCTGAAGGACTCTGAAGTGTGCCTTTAAACTTTAGTTTTATTATGGGATGCTCTGGGGGTTCTCTTAAACAGTTAAATCATTGGATAAAAAGATAAAAAAATTAGCATAACCGACTATGTTCAAAGTAGTACTAGCAATTTAAGATTAACATTTATATAAGCTGTTGTTATGATCTCCTATACTTGGGGTTTTAGTTAGTAGTGGTTTTCTTTCCTTTCTCCCTAGATGTAGTTACCCTTTCCCAATTTTTCATTGTAGTTTGTAGTCTATTAAAAAATGCAATAAAAAATCCCCTCGGGGGGGGGATAAATAAATAAATAAAATTTCTCAGCTCTTCCATTGGCAGAACTGAAAGAGACCATGGAAACAAACTGGTTTCATTACCACCCTCTTTCCCCCGAAGTTTCATATCTCATCTCTACATCCTCCAAAACCCAGTGAGGGTTCAAGGTCAGAAGATGCAGCTTCTGAGCCAAGGAGCCCAAAGGCTCTTCTCCTCACAGACACTGAAGTTACACTACAAATATACCTGGCAAATGTAAGAAAACACCATCCACCAGGCAATTCAAAACCCAACACTGGTGAGCATATACTCAACCACAAGACAGTTCTTAGACATCTGCAGTTCCCTGGCTGAGCGGCATCAGGTTTCTTACTGTGTAGACTCACAGTTTAAAATTTTGGCTCTTTTTGTCGAACTTGTTCGCCACCCCTGGTGTAGACTGTGAAACGGCCCTGAACAATGCTCCCTCTAAGCTGCGGAGTCTTGTGAGCAGCAATTCTCCTTTGTGAGCTACTGGCATTAAAGTTGTGAGTGAGCGATTTGGCTACTGCATCAATTAGTTTGCTCTGGAGCCGTCCTTCCTGAGTTAAGACAGAAATCTGTGCGCTGGAGGCTAAAAAACTGTGAGCTCGCTCACACTAACTCAGCTTAGAGGGAACACGGGCCCTGAGTGCTTCATGCCTGGTGTCGTTCAAGAGAGAAACCAGCTAAATGCTGTCTCAAATGGTACAGGAAAGGATGCTCCATCCCATACCTCTGACGAATGTACCTGCGCCCAGTGTTCCCTCTAAGCTTAGTTAGTGTGACCTACCTCACAGTTTTTTCTCCTCTGGCTTACACATTTTTGTCTCAGCGCAGGAAGGCTGCTGCCAGAGCAAACTGATTTATGCAGTAGCCAAATCGCTCGCTCACAACTTTAATGCCAGTAGCTCACAAAGTAGAATTTTTGCTCACAAGACTCCACAGATGAGAGGGAACATTGCCTGCGCCACCTCTATGTCCTATTCCAACCTACATTTTTAACTTAAGACTACACTATTTAAAATACAACAACAAAGATAAGGAAGTTAAGCACTGAATTATACATGTAGTTACAGCAGCAAGAATTCTTTATGCTACGTACTGGAAGAAATCAGAGATACCAACGGAAAACGAACTTTTGACAAAAAAAAATTGAAATAGCAGAAATGGATATATCGGACTTATTAAAAGACCGAAGTCAACAAAAAGCGAGAGATAATTGGATACTATTTTACAACTGGGCGTAAACAAACTTTGAAGACCACGAACAATGAACAGAACTATTATAAACTTGGAGAAACTCTTAACTTGGAACTGTGCAGAACCTGACTTTCCCCCGGGAATCATTACAGAAGAGTTTAGCAGTCTGATTAAGCGTCACTGGCTTTAGTAAATGAAATGAAAAGAAAAGAGATCTGGAAACAAAGAATTAAGACAGAAAACATGTCACAGCTGTTATATAAGCTTGATGGAACTTCTCTTTAGGTCTTAGCCCATTCCTTGTATCCTTCCTGCCCTATTATGTTAAGACCAAATAAGAAGAAAAGATTGGATTTATACCCCGCCCTTCACTACCCAGAGGTGTCTCAGAGCGGCTTACAATTGCCTTTCCCTTCCCCTCCCCCACAACAGACACCCTGTGAGGTAGGTGGGACTCAAGAGAGCTCTGACAGAAACTGCTCTTGAGAGAACAGCTCTGAGAGAACTATGGCTTTCCCAAGGTCATCCAGCAGCTGCAAGCGGAGGAGTGGGGAATCAAACCCGGTTCTCCCCGATTAGAATCCGCGCACTTCACCACTACACCAAACTGGCTCTTGTAAATAAATAAACAAATAAATGAAGAAGAGGAGGAGGAGGAGAAGACTGGATTTATACCCCGCCCTTCACTACCCAAAGGTGTCTCAGAGTGGCTTACAAACTCCTTTCCCTTCCCCTCCCCGCAACAGACACCCTGTGAGGTGGGTGGGGCTGAGAGAGCTCTGACAGAAACTGCTCTTGAGAGAAAAGCTCTGTGAGAACTGTGGCTTGCCCAAGGTCATCCAGCAGCTGCAAGTGGAGGAGTGGGGAATCAAACCCGGTTCTCCCCGAAAAGAGTCCGCACATTTTAATCACTACACCAAACTGGCTCGGATGATCTTTTCTTTTTTCTTTAAAAATTAAGCCCTGTTCCGTGGGTGAGAGTAGAAAAGAGGCACTCTGCACATGCTTAACGGCCCCCGCCTCGGCTCCCTCGGGCTCTTCCGCGCACTGAACCACGACACCAGACTGGCTCTTGTAAATAAATACACAAATAAAAATGTGTATTAAACAAAAATCAAGATGAAATGCAACCACATCGAGGAGAGCTCCGCCAGGCCAGGAAGGCGTCTGAGTGACACGCGGGGGGAGAGGCAGAAGGGGCCGCCGCGCGGAGAAGGGGGAGGCCCCGAGGGCCCTCTGACGCGACCGAGCCCCCTCGGCTTCCAGGGCCGGGCTCCTCCAGGCAGGGGACTCGGCCACGCGGCGGGGCCCAGATTCTCCTCCGCCCCGGCAAGCCCAGGCCGGAGCACCGCCTCTCCCCCCGCGCACCTGTCACGCTGGCCCGGGTGACGCGTTGGACGATGGCCTTCATGATGGCGGCGCCGCCGCTGCGGAGAGCGAGGGAGGGAAGGAAGGAGGGCAGGCGGCCGGCAAGGCAGCCGGAGCCCTCGCAGGCGGCGGGAAGCAACTTCCGGCGGGGACCGGAAGCGGAAGCAGAACTGACCCGTGACCCGGAAGCCAGAGTTTCCTGTCGCGGTTCCGCGAGGGCTGCGGCTGGGGGCGGACGGGAGCCCGGCTGTTTCCCCTCCGGGGGCGGTGTCTCCTGCCCCGTTGGGTTGCCAGCTCCGGGCCGGGAACTTGGGGGGACAAAGGCCGGGGAGGGGCTCTGGTTTCAGTTTAGGGTTGCCAACTCCCAGGCGGGGACGGGAGATCGCCTGGGATTTCGACTCGTCTCCAAGCGAGGCCCGTTCCCCTGGACCAAATGGCTGCTTTGGAGGGTGGACTCTGCGGCACTGTACCCCTTCCTCCCCCCCCCCCCCCCCCACACTCCCCCCAGCTCACTCAG